CACCCTGGACGGCACAGAACCTCCCTTCGCCGCTCTCGGGTGGCGGAGCCTTGTCCCCGCTACCCCTCTGAGCCAGCTGCACCCGCGCGGCCTGCGCAGCTGCGCTGTGGTCATGTCGGCTGGCGCCATCCTCAACTCCTCACTGGGCGTGGAGATCGGTGGGTGTCCGGGGGGGTGGGGGAGTGGGCTGCCTAGAGGACACTGCCAGGGGAGCTGGGGCAAGGGTTGGAGGTTCCGGGGCAGGGGATATGGTCCTCACGCTGTGCTTCTGTCTTTCTGGTCCTTTCCATTGCACTTGTCCCCAGCCACCTCGCACAGACACCATGCGCTGCGCTCCTTCGGTAGGTCCATAGCGGCCCTCAGAGCCCAGAAGACAAGCAGCAGCCAGCAGGAGAAGGAAGGAGGGAGGTGTTGGGGGTAGGCTGTTACCCAGAGGGAGCATGCACTATGAGGATTCTGATCCTTCAGAACCTGAGCCCAAGTCCTGGGCTCCTAGGAGAGGGGAGCAGGGCTGCGTGGGACGAATATTCCCAGCCTTGCAACAGACCTCTGGGTCCCACTAGGGCAGGAGGTGGGGGCCTCCTAAGGACAGGGAATCACATGTCACACCTGGGTCTCTATTGTCCTGGCCAGACTGGCTCCAAAGCCTCCCAGAGTCCAGTATATATGTCCCTTATAGAAAGGGAAAGGAGTTGGGCAGGGATGGTGGGCATGCAAGTCCGGAATGTGTACAGTGTGCCCAGAGACGGGACCCAGGCAGGGGCTTAGTGGCATTCCTAAGGAGAATCTTTCCTCAGGACGTTCCTGCCTAACTTAGTCCTTAAGGCTGACAGAATGAGGTCCACTTACTATGTGGAAGTATTGCTCTTCTCTAAGTCAGGGCTATGGGTCACATCCAAAAACAGACCTTCTCAATGACATCTCTGACCAACACCACCACCACAGCCTGGGCAGCTCTAGTGTTCATGTGGGCTGTGGACACTGGTGTCTCCTAAGTGGAAGGCAGGCAAAGCAGAGGCACAGTTCCCACTGCAGGGCTCCCTTGGGAGCTGGCAGGGGCTCCATTCCCAGGCATCATGCCCACTCTCTCATCCTGCTCTCCCCTCCTCAGCTGAGGGACCCCACTTTTCCTTGCAAGCTTTTCTCTCCTGATGCAGTTCTGGATATCTTGGCTCCAGACTTCTCCCTGGGTCCAGGGAATCCTGTTGCTGCCCAAGTGTGAAATTCATTCATTTCACAAACATGCATTCTGTGTCCTTGAAGAGAGGCTGATGTCCCAAGAGTGTCTTGGAATAGGAGACACTGTCATGGGCAGGATGAGAAAACGGACTTCCACTCATGTTCCTGGCAAGGACGCTGAATGGGAAGTTTCTTCACTTAGAAACCCCGAGATGACACATGGCTTGTGGCCCAAGGTCCCCAAGTCTCTGCTGACATTACATCAGGCTTGCGATAACATTGTCCACGTGTTGCCACGCTTGTAGCCAAGGCCAGAGCAGAGCACCTGCAGTTTATTAGGAAAGAGCAATGGTTTAGAAGTCCCCAGGGTGGAATCACAGTACAGTACTTCCTCATTCCCAGGCCAATATTAATAATGTAGAGGAGGGATTTAACTGTGATGCTGTGAAACAGGCAGCAACTTGCTTCTGGTTTGTTTTTGTTTTAAACTTCTCAGCATTGTAAATGCACAGTGTTTGGGCTGCTCTGGCACTAAGAATTCCCTTGCTCTTTTTTCCTGCATAAATATCCCTGGCCAGAGCCTTTGAAATGATTCCAAAGTTGGAAACAAGTTTGAAAGATATGTTGGGAAGTCTGTGTTTCTGGAGAACAAGAAAAACCAGAGTAGGGTTTTTGCTATTTCTGGTTTCTAGATTCCACTCTGGCTGTATGCAGTGCTGTGAGGCTTTGTGATGGGTACTGTAAATTCCGAAATGAAGATTGAGCTTGGAAGTGTTTGAAAACCCTCTTTCCTGCTCTACCTTGTTCCCTAGGATCAGATTTGTTCAGGACATGTAACCACAGCATCCCTCAAAAACTGTAAAAGCAAAGGCCTTCCTTTCCATAGGCTAGCGTCCCTGAGGGCCAGGTGATGCCCCTCTGCTCTGTCCCCATAGGTGGCAGTGATCCCTGCAAACCCAGGAGGCTTCATGGATTCCACAGTAAAGGCAAATTTGTGCATAGGGTCTGCTGTAGCCACACTTAGGCTGGGCCCTCAGTACATGCCAGTGAATCAGGCATGTGCAGGTCAAGGACTTGCCAAGGTAGTGGTCTGATGAGGGCGCACCAAAGCTGAAATGTGGCCAGCCACCTGAGCCCCTGCTGTGTTAGTAAGGATCACTGCAGAGGTTGGTGCTGGAGTCTTATTTCCATGGGCACACCATGAAGAGGAGAAAAGTCTGATCTGAAGGAGCAGGTGCAACCACCATGGGAAGGGAAGGATGCAGTCTGCACACTGGGCATGTGAATACTGGCATGTGGATGGGAAACAGGAGGCAGGAGATGGAGGAAGAAGCATTGGACCTATAGTGGTTGCTGGGAAAAGCTTAGCGTATGGCATGCCTCACTACCTGAAAGCACTTAAGAAAGCTGTTCATACAGTCATTCAGCAAGTACTGTAGCAACTCCCCACCAGGTCCTGTGCTGGACACAAAAATAGATAAGGCACAGGCACAGCCAACAAATTCCATGTAGTCTGGGGATCCAAACAGACTGTACCATAAGCTCCACATCCCAAGAAGAGGAGGAAGAAGAGTGCTGGAGTCCTGAGTCACCAGGAGGGTGGTGACTGGGCAGAGGGAGCAAAGAGGAAAGGCTGTTCCAGATGTGGAAGTTGGGCTGGAGGCTGGCACCAGGAAAGCAGAGAAGCAGCACAGGGTGATGAAGGGTAAGAGGACCTGGGGACATGCAGGAGCGGGAGAGCAGAGAAGAACTATGGAGGCAGCACAGATACATCCTTGTGCATCATTGTACAGAAAGTGGAGCTTCCGGAGCACCCTCACCAGAGGTCCAGCTCCAGGGAGTTTACCGCAGACAGGGCCTGTTCCATGCTCAATATGTGCTGCCTAGGTTCAGGGATACATGGCTGCTCCCACTCACAAACAAGCAGATAGTGTCCTGTAGACTCACAAGGACAGGCAGAGCCTGGCCTCTGTCCCCAGGCTGGTCCCTAGAAATATTACATGCCACCTGGCCAGGATGGGGAGGTCTCACTTCTGGGGTCTGACTCAGCCTTGCATGTGCTGGGGCATTGGAGAGGTGGTCACTCAGGTTCTCATCACAGGTGGCCATTGTAGTCTTATACTCATTTTCTGACTGAATACGAGGGAAGCAGGGTGCAGGTTTTGGGCAAGGCAAGACAAGGCAAGGCACTCCCTCGGTGTACTGGGCCCCCAGTCAGACACCATCTGGCAGGAGTGATCTTCCAGGGGTGGGTGCTTTTAGCTGCTGTACTGAAGACCAGCACAACCTGACCTGGAATCATCTCCATCCTTGGGCTTTGCTGGACCCCACATGCTTGCTGTGCCACCTATTCCTCCTGTGCACAATGCCTATGGACATTTTGGCCTCTGCTGCTGTGTTGCCAGGCAGTTCCCAGCCAGGTTCTCCCTCAGCAGAACCAGCACTCAGAACAGGCACTCAGCTCTGATGCCTCCTGCAGCTTTAAACTCTGCAGACTGGCACCACCTCCAGATGAGGCCAGTGGCCGCTGCCACAGGACAGTGGACAGTAGACATGCCAGTGATGCAAGGATTTATGGAATGTGATTTGGCTGCAGCCACTTCTTGGGCAGCACAGCTCCCCAGAGAGCTGTGGCCTCTTCCCTGGCCCTGCTGCTGACTCCTCTGAGCCCAGAGCCCCTAGGTACCTGGCAACCCCCCTCCTTTCCTGCCTTTTCAAGGGTTGCTCCCAGTCCCCCCAAATCCAGGCAGGGTCCCAAGGGACTCTTCCCCTGTCCACAAGGGAAAATTGGCTCTGGAGTGATGCCCAGGGCTCTTGTCCTTCTTCTCTTTGGCTTCTGCCTTATGGGTGTAGAAATGACAATGAATAATGTGGTTTTTTCCTTGGCCTAAGGCATGGCAGAGTTACTGGCCACCAGGGTGATTCTCACCCAAATGCATCACAGAGAGAGGGTGCCTTTTGCTACAAAAGGCCTGTAATGACCTGTAATGCTACAGAGGATGTAATAATCAACAACCTTTGAGCCCATATATGTCAGGTCCTGTGTGACCAAAGGGAAAAGGGAGGAAGCACTTCCTTGCCTGCTCACTTGGGGAAACAACTGGTGGACATGCTTGCTTGACACTTGGGTATTCAGCAGTTTTTGCTCAAAAAGGAATTAAGTGAGCCTGTTGCTTGCAGGAAAATTATTGGTAGCATTTTTTGACCATGATAAAACTCAAGCTATCATCCATATGATTGGAAGCTTCCCATCCTTGAAACCTAACAGTCTACGGGGCTGTTAGCCAGTGAGGCTTTCTGATGCTTGATAATGAAATGCACCAATATTCGGAAGACCCACCCAACTTACTGACCAAAGAATTTTCAAATGACCTTTGCTTTATAATATAAAATAATGCATGGGTCAAAGACCCATTTTAAAAGCAAGATAGATGAGTTGATTTTCATGTAGCAGAACTAGTTGGATTCTTGGATTTGTACCCATTTACCCATTTCTTGGAATTTTTTAAAAATCCCCATTTTAGAAGAGCTTCTTAACATAGGGACAAGTGAATTGAGGGAATTCCAGTGAAGAAGACCACTAGGATGGGGGTGCAGGCCCAGGGGTGGCAGCAGACCCTCACTTTCTACTTAATTAAGTCTGGAGTTAACAGTTTATTAGAAAAAGGCAACGCACTGGTGTATTTTTCAGATTCCACATTGCTACCACACCTTTGTTTTTTGTTTTTTTGTTTTAGTTTTTGTTTTGTTTTGTTTTGTTGGTACCAGGGATCAAACTTGGGACCTTGTGCTTGTGAGGCAGGCAGAAGAATCACTGAGTTAAGTCCCTGGCCCTGCTACCAACCTTTAGCAAGCAGCACTTACCAAGTTTTGGGGAGGTATCAAAGGACAGTGTTCTCAGCTGTCTGGGAGGACACTTATAATAGCCCCCTTCTCAGGAGCTGTATCCTAGGCTCCCCACACTGCAGCCAAAGCAACGCATTGTAGCAAACGCCTGCATGGAGCACAGAGGAGACACCAACTGTCTCTACAGAGCCAATGGTGGAGTCTGAGAATATTTACAGCAGTGCCAGCCTTCTCACTGTTTATTTTTAAGTATAGTTATTTTTATTAAAATGTTATTTAAAGATAAATTAATACATGAACATTTAAAATTTTCTATTTACTTTCTAACGAAATGGTTATGTGTTTTTCTCATAAGGGGGCCCTAAGGCTAAAAAGTCTATTGTTTGTGTAATCTAATGTTTTAGCTCAAATATCATTGAGTTTTTTGATACAGCATTGAGTATACTACTTAATAAAAATAAATATAAAATAGTTCATTACTAGGAGAAAAATTGTGAGCAAGTGCTTAAATTATGAAGTGAAGCAGCGCTCCTAATCGGAAGGTCAGAGGTGTTTTAGCAGTGTTTATACCAAGTGTAGATGCCCCTGGCTCTGTGAATAGCAAGTAGCAGGATTTGCCATGGGTCTCTGTTCCCACAGCTCAGCTCAAGCCTTAAAGACCGTGTGCATACAGGAAGCTCTGTCTTTGTTGCACTTTGGCTGTTTTTATTGTGACAGGGCAGGGAATACTTGGCCTTCAGGTTATGACTTATTGACTCCAGCAAAATTTCCCCTAAAAGAATATTGGAAAGTTTTGTGGGCTCAGCCAGGCCCCTTTCATGAGTTCACTGTGTTCCCAAAGTATAACGAGCGTGGTGCTCGACACTGGCATCTGATTGCATTTGGGTTCAGAGCTCAGGTTTGGCCTCAGGCTCATTTGTAGAGATTCCCTCTGTGACTCAGTGGGCACATGTGTGGTGTGCACTCCAGGACTGGGAACAGAGACACCACCAGGGATCCAGGACCTCAGAGATGACCTATCTGCAGGGCCCTGGGGGTGGGCACAGTAGATGTGCCTGGCATTTCTTCCTTCACGGCATGAGCATCGCTGCAGGTTAAACGTGATATGAGCAGTAGGTTTTTGGGGCCAAGGTGGTGCCCAGAAATTCCCTCCCTACTGGTTCATGCTGGTTTCAGGCTGGTCCCTGAGAATGGTTATGTGTTCACAGCCTGCCATAGGGAAATGGGACCCAGTCCCACACCCACCCTCATCACCTGCACCCTGATTTCCACCCTCTGTCTTCTTCTTGGCCCCCATGACAGGGAACCCGGTTTCCATAGCACCTGTCAGGTGGTGGCTGGGGGACCCAGACACGGGGATGTCCAGCTGTGAGTGGGGTGTGGGCTGCTGTAGATGTGGGGTGAAGGTCATGTTTGGTGGACCGTGGGGTGCAGGGCAGAGCAGAAAGCCCTACAGTTGTGACGTGGGCCCCATCCTCCAGGTGGAGTCAGGTGGAAGGCTTCACAGAAATCAAGATTGGTTTTCCTTTTTCTATTTTCCTTCCTTCGTCCTTCTCTTTCTCTCCTTCCCTCCCTTCTTTCCTTTCTTCCTTCTGAGAAAGGCTCTCACTGTGTATCCCAGGCTGGCCTCAAACTTATAATCCTCCTGCCTCAGCTTCCCAAGTGCTGGGATTACCAGTGTGTGCCACCATACCCTTGAGGCTAGCTTTCTTTTTAAGCAAAAACTTTCAGCAGAAAGTGATAATGTGAGCTAGATGGTGGTGGTTCTCACCCAGTGAGAGATGCATTTGACCTCAGTGAGACAGTGGCCCTGGTGACCCTGCTGACCTTGGGGCTCTGTGAACAGCAAGGACCCTGAGGAACAGCCCCACCTGCCCAGCACCTGCCCCAGCCCCTGTAGATCTGCCTATCTTCTGCAGTTCAGCACCTCCAGGATGGCATGTAAAGAATATTACTTGTAAAGAAGATAAGGTTCTAAGTGTAATTTAGGAGGCCCACTGTGACTGGGGGCTTTCTGTACAGATGCACAGAGTCACTGCTCCCTCACAAAACAAGGGGACAGGTTCTCAGGACACATCCTTGGGCACATTCCTCATTTCAGAGCATCACAAAGTAATCAGATTAGGTGATGTGCTCTGGGAACACCATGGGGTGTGCAGTCCATCCAGATGGACATGCCTTCATGCATGTGCAGCTGTGTTGTCATGTCGATTTCCCAAGGCAAGAGCTCATCCTAAATCAGCAGTATATTATCTGCAAAATGCATGTGTAGATAGCTTTACTATCGATGTCTGAGTAGCTGCAGGTATTGAAAGGTTTGCTTTAACATTTTTTTCCCTAGATTATGTGATCCTACAGAGAAAAAGAGTAAGCTTGTCACTTGTGTGCCCTTAGATTCTCACGATGCAGTGTTGAGGTTTAACTCTGCTCCTACGCATGGTTATGAGAAGGATGTTGGAAATAAAACCACTATTCGCATCATCAACTCCCAGGTGAGAGGTGAGAGGGTGGACTGGTCTCCCTGTTACGCATTTCATAGGTAAATAGTTTAGCCCCAGTTATTCAAGACCGTCATACTTGCTTATCTTTGGGGCCTTGTAATTATAAAGACTCCATGATGAAGAGTGCAGAGGAATAGGAAGGAGATGTGGTATAAATGAGAAGTTAGCAAGATTAAAAGAAAAACCAGGGTAGACACAAAGATGCATGTTTTTTACAACACAGACTTACCAGGTTGCAACGTGTGACTGGAGGAAAGGCAGTTAAATAGAAGAAATCACAACAACAAGTGCAAGGATTAGCTGGTGTGGTGGCAAATATCCATGATCCCAGCACTCTGGGAAGCTGAGGGAGGAGGGTTGCAAGTTTCAGCCCAGCCTAGCGACTTAGTGACTTAGTCAGACCCTGTCTCAGAGTTTCAAAAATAGTTTTTAAAAATGCTGGGACTGTAGCTTAGGGTAAAGACTCTGGGTTAAATATCCAAAACTGGGGGGAAAGTTGCAGGGATTAAAAGGGGGGAAAATAGAGGCACCAAATTCCAGGGTTCATGGATGTCTTTGAAACTTTAATTTGTTACTTGGAAATTTGAAAATTAACACTGTGTCGTTCAATGCAAAATAAAAGTGCCCCTTTGCTTCATGTTCTTGATAAGAATGTCTGCTGAATTTGTGGCAGAATTATCTCAGAATAAGCCACAAAAATTTCTAGAGTTTCAGAAATATGTAGGAAAAATGAGATGGCCAGTGATTTCTGGTGAGTTGTCCCATAACAAAGGGTCAGCTCCCTGCACAGTTCACTGGCCCAGGCTGCCTGCAGAGAGGACAGAGATAGTCCCCACACCTGCTTAATATGAGGCTGTCATTGGCTGGAAGATCAAGTGTTCATTTAATAACTCTTCATTTTAATAACTCTTGAGAGAGGAGGAGAAACCAAGCACATTAAAACCCATGCGCCCTATAAGATTCTTCCTAATCTTAGAAAAAGTAACATGGAAAAGTGCGTGTTAATCATGGTGAAAATCCCTAAATGAGAGTTTATAAAGATGATTGGTAGGTGAAATTGACCAATCACAGGAGCCAGAGTGAGCGAAGGAGGAAGGATGGTGGCTGACCCATGCAGACCGCCTCACACTCAGACCGTGCACACCCACAGCCCTGTCTTCTGACCACGTGACATGGCTCTGTAGAGAAGGTGGGGCCTGAGGTCCTGGGGTATCATACCTTCAGAGTTGGAGACCCAACCCCCAGACACAGTGAAGTGCTGGTGAAAGTGGGAGAACATCTCCAGGCACCCTTGTCTGCTGTGCTGTCCTCTCTTACTCCCAGAGGGATCAGAGAGCCTGGATGCTTTGCTTCTTGCTCTGATTCCTCCTTTTAATTTACACCTGTTTCTAAAATATGTTTTTGAAGCAGCAATTTTTAACATGATTTTTCCTGTGTCTTTGCAGATTCTGACCAACCCCGGCTATCACTTCATTGACAGCTCTTTGTATAAAGATGTCATTTTGGTGGCCTGGGACCCAGCTCCGTACTCCTCCAATCTCTACTTGGTGAGTATTTCTTTGATGGCCCCACCCCAGGATCACATGATGCCTTTGATTGATGAGTCGTGGGACCAAGGCAGAGGAAACCGGCCATAGTCCTAGCTGGGCCCATGTGGGTACGTGCAGATTGGACCCCATCAAGAGTAGCATACTCAACATCCTCTCCAACAGCTGCCCACCTGCTGCTGTGCTGGACAAATGAGTGGAGATGGGGTGTCTTTGAATGCTCAGAAATTCCTAGTTACATTGAGGGGTGGCAGTTTTAACTCACAGCCCTTTCATTGTGACAGGGTGACATCACGCACACTCACAGTAACTGCAGAACCTTTGGAAATAGAACTGGAAGTGGCTGGCAAGAAAATCTAAACTTTAAGCAATGACAGCTCATTGTTACTCACATGGAGCCTGTTCCAGCCTTTCCTTGAATATTTCTCCTTGGCTTCCGAAAGGTAGATTTTCTGCAGTAGGGTTACAAGTTTATTGCTAGCCATCAAAATATGAACAGGGTGTATTTGGGACCTGTGGGTGAATGCTTACCTAGCTAAGCAAGCCACTGGCTGCTTTTGGTGGAAACTCAAGTACAAATCCTGGGATTGAAGCTAGGAAAGATGGAATAGACGAGGCTAGCCAAGTAAGAGAGATGCTGCCTGCTCTTCAGATGCAAATCCTCGATAAGGTTTGCTGGGACCAGAAAGCATGCAGCCTTCTCATGTTGAATGTAGAGGACAGATCTTGGCTCCTGAGGGAGTTGACAGTCTTAGAGAGGCTACATGAGAGAGCATGGGCCCCTCCAGGAGTGAGGACTGCTGTCTTGAGCTTGAGGCTGTATATAGCAACCTTGCATGGTTGCTAATGTCTCTTGAACAGAGGCACAGATCAGAAGCACCTGCAGAGCACTGTTCAAAGTCTGTCTGCCTGAGCCCCATCTCTAGGCATGAACAACAGGGCCTCTGTATGCATTTTTTGAGGATGCTGTCTGGTCAGTTCTCCTGTGTACCTCCACCATGAGAATTCAGCATCGAATGTGGGTTGGGACTGCTTTCTTCCCAGCCTGCGGCTCCTGGATGTAAATGCTGGCAGCTCCTTTGCTGTTTGTGAGCAGGCTGCACCTTTGCACTTGTGGCTGTTCTCCTTGTTTCTTCCTCTGTTGGAAGCATCCAGACCTGGGCACAGCACAAGCCCACCTCTACATGGGAACTATGCCAAGACAAAAGGGCATAGCCCTTGCTCTAGGTTGGGATGCCATGGGAGGAAGAAAGGGCTGGCAAAAGACAAGTTTCTGCCCTGGTCCCCACGTTGCTGTTCCTTTCTTGCCAGTGCCACCTGGGTTGGGACTTCATTTGTCACAAAAACTCTCGTCTAGTCATTCCCAAAGATATCAAAGCCACAGGACCTCTTGTCATCTGAATATTAATTGGGATCTGAATATATGCCTATTGTATACCTAGGGCATCTACTTAAAAAGAGCCTGGGGCTCACCGACTTCCATGAGCCAAGCCTCTCCCCTTTTTCTTTATGCCAAACTTATTGGCTTTTTCAAACAATACTCCTATGATAAATATATGTGCACACTTGCAGACATTTGAAGGAGCATATAGCCTAAGTGTCTACCAGTCCAGGAAAGAAAAAGAGCTGTACTGTATGTGTCCCCTGTCTATGTTGTAGTCTATGTTGTGCTATACCCAGGCTGTACTGAGGTGTTTTTTGTCACTAAAGATGAAATTTGAAGCACTTACTTTTAAATATATACTCTTTGTACCTGTAGATCAACCATTATAGCCAGGGACCAAATCTGGTAGATCAACCATTATAGCCAGGGACCAAATCTGGCCACCTTTTGTCTTTATAAACAATATTTTATTGGAACACGGCATGCCCATCTGTCTTTATAAATAAAGTTTTATTAGAACACAACATGCCCTCCTCTCTATAGGAACTGTCCAGCTACTTCCAAGCACTATGGTAGAGGTGATCAGGGGATGCAGACACCATATAGCCTGCTGACCCTCATGTGTCCACTCTGCTGCCCTTTGTAGGAAACATCTGTTGACCCAGATCCAGACCATTGCTTTCACTTTCCTCCTGTGGTAGTCAGAACCCTGGTCTCCTTTTGCATATGTTCCCAAGCAAGTGTCTCTGGTCTCTGGTGGAGAAGAGTCTTGGGCTGTGTCTCAGCCTCTTGACCCACAACTGCCCTGTCTCCTTCTTACACCATGTTCTTCACTAGATTCTCTTTTTCCCTCAGTGGTACAAGAAGCCAGATTACAACTTGTTCACTCCGTATATTCAGCACCGTCAGAGAAATCCAGCTCAAGCATTTTACGTTCTGCATCCTAAGTTTATATGGCAGCTCTGGGACATTATCCAGGAGAACACAAAGGAAAAGATCCAGCCCAACCCACCATCCTCGGGGTTCATCGGTAGGTATGGGGCAGTGATAGGGCAAATGGGGTAGGGGGTGGACAGGGAGCTACTACCTGCTCAAGGAGCAGACAGCAACACTGTACAGCAAGAGCAATTGGCAATGAGGTGGCTTTGGAGAGGAACCCAGGGAAAGAGTGACACTGTCCCAGTTATCCACAACTGCATGACAGATTGCTCCAAAATTTCAGGCTGGAGTGCAAGGACTGTTTTATTGTCTGCCACTCTCATGCTTTTGCAGGTCAGGACCGCCTATTCTAAGTGGCATCAAAAGGGGCACTTGATGGTGTCTCCCTGCTTCCTGGACAGCTGCACTTGCATGTCCAGCCCCTGGGCAGAAATGAGTAAACACGGGCTCATCTAGGACCACTGGCCATGTGCCTATATGTGCTCTTCTTCTGAGATGGTCCCAAGGTGATGAAGTTGACAGCAGGGTTTTCTCACAGAGCCACATTCCCAGCCCTTTTCTATTTTTTGAGAAAAGTTTTAATAAGTTCTTAAATTGCCCAAACTATCAATCTTGCAGCCTCCGCCTCCCAGAGTGGGGAATTACAGGTGTACACAGCCATGCCAGGTGATTTAGTCAACCTCGTAACACAGCATCTCAAGAATGCAGATGCAAGGGAGGAAAAGTGCTCCTAAGTCAAGAAATAAAAGTTTATGGTTTCTCTAGACCAAGGCTGCACATGTGCATTGTGTCCCTTGCACTTTCCTGGTGGTCAGGGAAAACTCAGGCTCCGTGGATTCCTGGGAGGACACACAGACCCCACCTTCCAGTAGAAATACTCAGAAACCTGTGGAGGGAGGCATTCACGGACCTCTTTAACACATAGCCATTGTGTTCCCATTGTTTGTGCAATGTCAGGCTCAGAGCTAGGCATGTAATCCTGGGACATAAGGGGGGGTTAATATTGCTTGTGGGGGAGGTCTCCACTGAGCCTGGGTCTCGCATCTCACTATGCACTCACCCAGAGTCCATGCGCTCTCATTCAAATGTGCATTCAAATCTTATGGAGAAGATGGTCACACTTGGCTTATGTTTTTTCAGACAGACTTTGATCCTCAGAGTTTATGCTCTTTTCCCACTCTGTTTTTGGCCCATCAGGCCATTATTCCTTTGATATTACCTGGGTCGGGTTATCTTAGGCACATCTTAGACCCCCTTGGCAATATGAGAGCCTGTGACTGAGCCAAACAATATTCAGTTCAGTGAATCTGCAGTCTGCACCCTCCAGGGATGCAAAGGTCCCCACAAATACAGAACACCTGTGTGGAGATGGCACAGGCTGGTGGGTGCAGGGCAACACAGTGGCCTACAGGGAGACTGTAAAATTATGAAGCAGGTTCAGAGCCCTGGAATGCTGAAATATCCTGCCTAGGATCCAAGGAAAATGTTCCAACCTGGCTATACATTAGCTCCCTTAAGCCCTACTTTTTCCCTTTTTATAAAGTCACACCTTTGATCCTCTTTTTAAATCACTCTTTTGAAATCTCAAATTCTCAGTTTCATGCTGATTTGGGAAAGAAAATATAATCTGCTTTGTTGGCAAAAGGTAAAACAGGAAGGAAAAATGCAACAAAGTATAATGGGGTATGGCAGAAGTTTAATAAAGGCTTTTTCATATATTGCCTTGAATTCATGTGACAGTATTTGATTAGGGAAGAAGTTTTGAAGCAGAGTTGGGGGCTGTCAGATGTGATTATATGGACATAGTTTTAATGGATCGGGTTAGATTGTCATAGCCAAGAGAAGTGCTTTCCCAGGGGGTATGTGTGTGTGGGGGGGTGTTGAAAGAATCGTGTTACATCCAGACACTTCCTTTCCTTGCTGTTTATAGACAGCCTGGAGCTTGCCAAAGCTCAGGGTTGCTTTAAGGCTTTCTTTGCATGAATAGCTACTGTACTTCATTGTCACTGTGAGAGCAGGTCCGGGCTATTTGGATTTCACTAGAGTTTTCTCTGCCACTTGCTAGCTCTCTGACCTTTGGTGTCATTGCTTAATCCTTTGATGCTTGATAACCTCATATGAGAAACACAAATGATAATAAAACCTTCCAAGGATGCTGAGGATAAGGTAACTGGCTAGTGAGCAATCATTATTTTCTAGCAGGGACGAGTATAGTACAAATCTATAGGCCATGTGTGAGTGTTTAAATTTCAGCTAATTTGAATTACATAAGCAGATACCTCCTGTTTCTGAGACCCCACCAACACGTGCTCCTGCTGGCTGCCATATTGCATAGCACAGACAGACAGCCTTTCCTGGTCCCAGGAGGCTGAGTTTGCCAATCAAAAAAGAAAAGAAAACAGCACTTGGACAGAGAATTATGCAGTTCCACAGGGCGAGCTGTCCTGCAGCTGTCGTGTAGCATCATTAAATCCACTTGCTCCAGCCGTGCCACCATGGGGTGTGCCGGGCCCCTCTCGAGGTTGGGTGTGGGGACAGCCTGGTAGCTTTGCCAGCATGCCACATGCCATTGGTCCAGTTATACTTTATCCTTCCTCTTTGATTCTGACCAGAAATAGGCTGATTGTGCAGTCTATCTCAGCATTTATTGGACTTTTATGATAGCAGTGGAATGATATTACCCATCTTTCAATCTGCCATAGAACTGTTAGAAAGTCAATGAAGTTTTCTTTTTTTCTGCTATGAAAATGCTCTCCAAATGTGCTGTGTGCTCCAAGAAGATGTGGAAAAGTGCTGACTTGTGTCACTGCCTGCTCATTCACTTGCTGGCCTCCAAACTCAGCTCCTAAACAAAGCCCCTATGAGGGCCTTTGAGAGAGACTAGGCATCCCTGAGTACATGGCCTGGTGCCCACCAGCAGGGAAGCCTCAAGCCAGGGAGTCTTTGGGATGTGAGTGTGCGATTCACTCTCTTTACCAATAGGTTCATCCACGGTGAGGAACAGCCTCACCCTGATCACCCTTATTTCTAAAACCAGTGCTGACATTTCCTTACACAGGGATTGGAGTCTGCATGTGTGAAGTAGAGGGATTCTTGAACACAAATGACATGTCTCTTTAAGGAAGTAGATCTAGGGGCATCAAGTCCCGAGGGAGATGTTCCTATGCAACTCAAGTTCAGTAGGTGCTATTCCGAGGCTTACTGCTGGGCCTGAGTTTAAGAGACCAGAGAGAGATAAACCCTTCCAACTCACAGCCCAGTGACCTGCCTCTCCCAACCAGACCCCACTCCTGACAGCACATACACTCTGACATCATCAGTAGATTAACCCACTGATAAGTGTAGTGTCTCCATGTTCTAGTCACCTTCCAAAAATCTCACCTCTTAAAACATGAGCTCTTGGGGAGACATTCTAGATCTAAACTACAACATTCTGCCTGTGGCCCCCAAACGGCCCATATCTACCTCACTGTGAAAATGCAATTAGTCTATCTCTAAGAGTTGCCAAAGTCATAAAAGTTCTCCCATTGCTGAAAAGTCAAAAGTTGCCTCTGAGACTCAAGGCAAACTCTTGCTATAAGCCCCTGTAAAAGTTTTTTTTTTGTTGTTAAGTTAATACTTCTGACCTGTCATGTGAAGGTATAGGATCCCAGTAATGAATGTAACTGTATTGTAGACCTAGATTGTACCAATAAACACAATAAAAAGAAAAAAAAGTTAATACATCTTACATACAATGACACAGTAAAAATTCTGATTCCAAAAAGGAGATATAAGTGGTAGAAAGGAATGGGACCAAAGCAAGACAAAAACTCAGCAAAGCAACATTAAATTCTATTTCTCTTTTCAGCACCCAGGCAAATTATAATGAGATGTGAGCTGCAAAGGGCTTGGGCAGCCCCACCCTTATGGCATTTCTGATTGTAGCCTTCATAGCCTTGCTCTCCAGGTAGCTTTGCTCACTGCCTGCAGCTTTCTTCAGCAGATGTTTAACGCTCTTGGCTTCTCCACCTTTCTGAGGTCCCTGCAGAGGGCTTCACCTTCACAGCTTCACAAACTGCCCTTTGCAGCACACTCTCTGGCTTCCCAGGCCTTCTTCCAAAATCTGGATAGAAGCCTCCCTGCTGCCATAACTCTTGCATTCTGCATGCCTACAAAACCACCACCATGTGGATGATGCCAGGGTCTGCTGCTAGGTGGAGTAGCAACCAAGCTCTATCGGATCATAGCTGTAGTGGATTCTGAGTTCCTGGATGGCTGAACCCAGGGAAGCATTTCCAGTTGCAGCCTTGATTGAACTAGGGTCCTTGAGGCTCTTTTTTCAAAGGAGAGCTTTATAATTTTACACACAACTCTTCCAAGAGGTCTTGCTGATTCCTGAGATGCCTTCCAGGCATCTTTCCTATTATTCTGATGCAGAGTATTTGGCTTTTTCTAATACTAATCTTTTCAGTAACCATGCTCTGAGGATCCCTGATTGTGCAGGAGGTGCTTCCTTTCTGTTAAAACTACAAACTTTTCATCTTTTGATATTAGTGTTTCCCCCTGATTTTCATTGTAGATCTGGCTAAAGGCAGCCCACAGTTCCCATGCCACAGCCTGAACAATGGTCTACTTTGAAATTCCCTCAACTAGATTAACTAGTCCACTGTCCTTCATCTGTCTTGACAAAAGTCTCAGAACCTGGGAAAAATGTAGACAAATTTTCTACTAGAGCCTAACACACATGGGCTGTGGTCCAACTGACAGTGGAGTCTTTGTTCCCAACAGAAATCTTCTAAGCCTGGCCTTTTTTTTTTTTTTTTTTTTGAACAGGGTCTCACAATGTAATTGAGACTGACCTGGAACTAACTTTGTAGCCCAGGCTGGTCTCGAACTTGCAGTGATCCTCCTGCCTCAGCCTCCCAATTGCTGGAATTACAGGTGTACATCACCACACCCGGCTTTTTAAACCTGGCCTTTCTTTCCACATGTCTATCAGCATTGTGGTGTTCTGACTAGAATTTCTCATCAAGCTTGGCTTACAGCATTATAGGGCTTCTCTAGCTGGCATTTTAAAACTCCTCCCTTGAACCATATCCAAAGGCTTCT